ATTGAACGATGAAATATTGGAGAAGAAGTAACCAAATCTGGAGTTTGATGAAGATCCACCGGTTAAACGAGTTCAATTGTTGAATGATGATGAACTTGGTGATTTGTAGCCTCGGATTCGAAAATTGATGATCAAAAACATGTTTGGAGAATGTTTGGAAGTGTTTGGAACCCTCCAAAACTGGTGAAAATCGCAGGGGAGGAGTCCAAAGTCGATTAGGGTTAAATCTCCTTTAAATAGGTGCTGAAAAACTGATTTTCGGAGCTGTTTTCCGCATCAGCATCCTAGTAGGCGTCTTAGACGTCATATAGGACGTCAAGGCGTCCTTCAGGGCGTTTTACATGCCTTCTGTCATCCTTGATTTGCACTTGAAAATGGCCAAAAACGGGTAGGCGTCCTAGGGGGCGTCTTAGATGCGTTCTAGGACGTCCCTCATCTTTGTCGCTCCTTTTTGGTGATGAAAACCGTAGAATAAGTAAAAACGTAAAACATGAAAGTTGTTGAAAATTTTGTCTAGTTTCCAGAAATTCTTCGTTCATGTCAATTGGAGCTCTAGATCTTGAGATATGATCAAAACATTGAAGAGTGGTCAAATTTCTCAGCACCATTTTTCTTCATTCTTTTAGCAATTCGTCTCCCACGCTTGTTAACTTCATTTTGCTCGTTTTTCTTGTAGTATCCACCCCATTTTAGTCGTATATAATGACCTACATATAAAGTTCAACAACTCATCAAAGTAGTGCCTTTCTTGGGCAATTACACATTAATTCAACAGATTTATGGCAAATTAGTACATTCATAAAATAGACTTATCAGGTAACAAGGATCAGAGCAAGTTCGATCTCAACTACATGTTGTATAGATACTACGTTTCTCAGAACAAATAATCCACCATCATAATCACAGATACAGACTTTCCTTCGATAAACCCAAACGACATTCTCACCATAGTTGCTCACTTCCGAGATCACCAATCAAGTGAATCAAGCATTGGAGCCTACAATATTTCAATAAGCTTCTTGAAGAACTATATTGTTAACTTCTACAAATCTGATATTGAATTTGCTCATCTTTTCGGAACGGAGAGGAGTCTGGCGAAAATCACTAACGAACATTCTAAAGCACAAATCTTGGCAGAATGCCCCATTGAAGAACCAGAACTCGATTATGTCTATCTCAAAAAGAAGATTAATCAAAAAGAATTCTTTAGATTTCTTGACAAACACCTTGTTCCAACAAAGATCCTTTAGAAGTTCATTACCAATGCTGCCAAAAGTGATTCATCCGAACATATCAAGAAGAAATTCATTTAGCATCTTAGATTGTATATAGAAATTCGAAGCTGGTTCCAAAGTACTTATCTATTTGTATTTGATGAAGCTAAGTGAAGAGTTAATTGATTGCTAAGGTTACTTAGGAGGAGATTTTTTATATATGAAAAGTGAACCTTTAGTAATCCGAAGTCAATCCAATCTGAAGTGAAATGCATACCGAAGTGTGATGAGTTCCGAAATGAAGCTCTTCCAAAACAAAGACTTGTTCGAGAAACACCTTGTATTCAATGCTATTTTGGGTCTGCATTTGCATTTAATGTTTCTTGTCATTTAGTCTTTGTTTTATTGTAAAGATCATGGGACAATATCGAGAAAATCATTTGTCAGCTTTTTGACTTTTCAGCTTTACATAGTTAATGCAATCTTTCTTTTTTGTCTTTTTTATCACTCCTTATCTATTTAAGGAGATGTAATATTCATGCAATGTAACAGTTAGAATAATATTCTCTTTCACATCAATATCATGTATCTTTCAAGTCAAATCATTCTCTTTAGTATTCTTATTGTTCTTAAAATCTTTTTACATTATTTATACTCATCTTCACGTACTTGAATACATGGTTGAACTTCTCACTTCAAGAGAAAACTGGTTTACCAGATCTGACTGGACTCGTAATATTAGCACCATACATTGATCTTAATTTAATTCAAGGTTTGAGTTTTCAAACCTTTTCCGTGCACATATTCTTACACTCTTAAAATGAATATAATAATGCTATAATATGATAATACTCTTTATAATAATATGTTAAAAATTACATGAGGTTAATGTTAATAAACCAATAATATAAAGACTTTTATGAAGATTACATGGTAAATTATAATATTATCGGCTAAAGTCTTAAATGTATAAACAATTACCAAGGTCTTGTCATTTTATGTAAACAATCGTTAGAATTTTGTCTTTTGGTGTTTAAAGAAATAAATAATGATTTTATTGTTAATGACCATAAAATATTAGAGAATTTGATTAGTTTTTCTAATATGTAATCTATAAATTAATATGCATGCAATTAATCAATTAGATATTACTTCTCATGTCTCACGAGCTCATTGTTTATGCAATTTCATGTTAATCAAACTTGTAATTTATATTATATGACAGTAACACGAATTGTTGCTTCGAGCGTGACATTTTAATACTTTTTAATTTATTCGGGTTTTTCATGTTATTATTTTCCAAATTGCATTGTTGTTAATCATATAGAAAATAGCAGACTTCAATTTTTAATTACTATGTTTCCAAACTTCCGTTTTAAATGTATTTTAAATATGGGAAATTGAGTAATTTAACCGGATACATGAACTTTTTTGGAAAAAATTGTTGGGAATCATATGCATCTAAATACATGATTATAACGTAGCGAAAACAAATCAATCGTTATATACTTATAAATGAAATATTTTTTCTCTTACCACATTCATTTGAAACTTTCATGGACTTTTCCTTTCACAACATTCAATAGAAACTCACATGACTTTTTATTTTCATACAAATAATAATTATAATTTGGTTAATTAGGTTAAATAAATATCAAACCTAAAGTATCATCATATTTAAACTAAATTTTAATATTAAAATAATATATTTACTACTACTTGTAAAATTATGTTTTTTAACTTTTAACATATTATATTTAATTTATTAGTTTTAATATATTGATGAATGTAAACATTTATAATTTTAAAGATACAATTTTGGAACAATTTGTATAAAATACTTAACTTGTTAATTTAAATATAATATTACAGGGTTAATTTAAGTATAAATTTTAGTTTAACTTAAACAACCAGAAAAATATTATGTAACTAGTTAAAAGTGATAAATTATAGTGTTTTCTAATAATGATTATGAGTTGGTTAATAAGGTTAAATAAATATTAAATCTAAAGTGTAATCATAAATAAATTAAATTTCATTTTTAAAATAATATATTTACTTCTACTTATAAAGTTATGTCTTTAATTTTTAACATATCATACTTAATTTATTAGATTTAATATGTTGTTATATATAAATCATTATCAGTTTAAATGTACAACTTTTAAATAGTTTGGACAAAAATAATTAGATTGTTAACTTAAAGATAACATTACGATGTCAACTTAAATATAAATTTTAGTTCCACTTAAAAAACCGAAAAATATTTTATAAAAAGTTAAAAGTGATAAATTGTAGTGATAAATGCAAAAACTAAATTGTACTCTCAATTAAACTAAATTATTTTTTAAAGATATTTTTATAATCATTAAAAGTTTCAAAATAAGTATCTTAAAATAACTTACAATAACAATATTAAAAATAACTCTATATAAATGATTATACCGTTACATTTAAAATAAAAAAAATGTTTGATGTTATAAATAATTATAATGATAGAAATTAAAAAATTAAATAAATAAATTTTAAAAAATTCATTAACATTAACAACAACAATAAATAACATTAAACCATATATTATATTATATTTTATTCATGTGTAACTTACAGTTAGAAGTCATTCAAACGATTGACATTATGAAGTTATCATAGATTTATATAAGGTTTAGGTCATTTTTGGTCACTTAACTTTTGGTTTTGTACTCATTTAGTCACTTAACTCTTTTTAAGTTTTAAAAGGTCATCAAACTTTTGGCTTTGTGCTCATTTAATCACTTAACTTTTGTTTTGGTCACATTTAGTCACCAAACTTTTAAAATTATGCTCATTTAGTCACTAAAGTTTAAAAAAAAAATTAAAAGTTTAGTGACTAAATTAGCACAACTTTAAAAGTTAGGTGACTAAATGAACACAAATCTAAAAGTTGGGTGACTAAATGTGACCAAACTAAAAGTTAAGTGACTAAATGAGCACAAAGTTAAAAGTTTGATGACCTTTTAAAACTTAAAAAT